TTAATGTCGCTGTAGAGAACATCTGCTGCAGATTGTGAGTCTCCAGTAAGGGAAATGTTTTCCCATTGAAAAGATCTCATTGACTTGGCAAACGGACCCCAGTTCATGGCATCATATTTCTTGGCATGCATACTTTGTTCCACACAGCCGATAGTTGGTATTGTGTGGGGTTTCTGATTGAACATAATGCTACTCTATGACCACTACCAGAAAAGTACTCTATCTCATCAGGTGCAAGATATATTCCTTTCTGATTTTTGATCTATGTTTCATTCATTCATATGGATGTAGAAGCGATCAGCAAAGTGAATAGTGATTACTGTTTGGGAGCAACTAGAACTTTAACTCTATACAACTTCTTCGAAATATAATCGAACATTCTGTAATAAGCGTCTGCAATCCGTAATAATCTAATCGTTCTTCAAGTTTTTATGTTGCAATTTGAAATGTCTGACTTATAGTTTCACTGGGTTCATTAGTGTAAAATATCCTTCCTAGTGTGCAATCCTTCTCTGAATCGAATGGTCGTGAAATGTAAATCCAACAACCTTTTGAACTGCTGTTCAGCTTTGGCCTCCATGACTTGTCTGACAGACGGTTCCAAACATGTACAACTCTCCACCACACGGGAGAGTTATCCTTCTATATCCAGTACCACAAGCCTGTACCTGGATCTGCTTGTGCTGCATGGGGTTCGCAAGTGAAGCGGCGACCTCATCATGCAGAAGACATGATGAGATAGACACGCAGCCGAAAATAGGACAAGGTGTAGAGTCCTAGTTTCTCGCTCCGGTCTTCGTACGATTATCCTCGTACACTTTTTATGAGCCTGGTAGCTACGTGTTGGAACTATCGATTTTCCGTGCCTCGCCTCGGATTATTGGATAGTAGGCAGATGAACCGTATTCCAGTATTGGTCCTATGTGGAAGAGAAGAGGAGAGTGACAACCACTTTAAACCAAATACAGAAGCTGCGTTCGATTGGCCAAAGCATGCGCAGTCCGTTACGATATAATCTGTTCATGTTGTCAACGGAATTCAAATCGTTATGCTGGAGTACACCTAGGTCCTTCACGGAAAGTTTGGCATGTACCGATTGGCCGTCAATGAAGTAAGGACGGCTGTCACCACTCTTCACCAGACTCATGAATACCGACTTGGATGGTTTGATCAGAAGATGGACTTCCGCAGACAACATGGAGAGGTAGTTGAGGTCTTGCTGAAATAGGCCGCAGTCGTCTCGGGTGCTAATTACTCTTCAAATCTTCACGTCGTCCCCAGACAGGGCACACGGTGACCAAAGAAGCTGAGCTCGATCGTTGTTTTGGATTAGGAACAGAGTGGTCTCCAGCACAGTGCTTTGGGGCACGCCACTTGTAGAGGGATTCCAGTCAGTTAGATGGCCGTCGACCTGTATCCACCACTTTCGTCCAATGAGTGTCTTTGATCCAGTGGCTCAGTGATCCATCGACACCGCACGCTGAGCTTGTGGAGGAATACCTCATGATTTCCCTTTTGGAACGGTTTACTTTGATCGACAGACTTCTCCTGGTTCACTGCCAGTAATAATTCATGCCTCATCACCATAAGGTTGGTAATGCATAAGTAGCGTAGCACAAAACCGTGTTTTGCTGGCGTCAGTAGACTTTTTGTTTGGAGTGGTTGTAGTAGACCCTACTTCGCGAGCTTCTCGGCAAGCTTGGTCGAAATTGGTGTCAAACAAATTGGCCTGTAGTTGTCCACCTTGCTGGGGTCACTGCCTTTCGGAATCGGTTTTACCATGTAGCATTCCCAGTCGCTCGGCAATGAATCTTCGGACAGTGACCTGTTGAAAAAGAGTCACAGCAGGTGATATGATGCCCGATAGTGAGTTGAGAATCTCAAAATAGCAAGAAAAAGCTACATTTTAAGAGGATACGCTGGATTCCGGTATTTCGAGTGCTCTCATCAGCTGTTTACGTACATTGGTGAAATTATTGTGTTGCGTACAAAAGTGAAGCAGTGTACAAGGTTATTCAATTCAAAGTAAAACGACCAATAACCTCACCAAGGTAAGTCGAGTCTGGCCGTAAATTCAGTCTGCTTGCACAAATTTGGCTTAAGTCGCCGAATATGTGATGCTTCGGCAAACTGAAGCAATCGGGTTTTGCTCTGTGGGTTACTTACTTACAAACCACGAGGACGTTGACATTTTGTGCAATCTTGCTATTTTGAAATTTGCGAAGGGAAAATCCTGCATGAAAGGACTTGAGAATCCTTGGTGGAGTCTGTCGTAGCCATTAGGTTTGCTGCCGTCGAGGTTGGCGAGTAGTTGGTGCACCTCTTCAACATAGCAAAGCAGGTGGTTCACTTTGGTAAGTATGGTGAACGTCGAACTCGGTCCATCCCCTTATCAATTGCAAACACGGAAATGAATTGCGCCGCCAGTCTAGGCGCACCAATAATGCTTGAGATTAAGGGCTGTCAACCCGAGCCCTCTACCACTAGCAGATCATCTGCTGGCTTGAGACGCCGCTTCACGTACACAACGATTGCTTTCGGGGCGGTGTTCTCGGCGATGGTTAGCTGCTTTTCGAAGTTTCAATGTAGCAGGAAGAAGCAATATCTTAACCAAATTTACTGGATGCAACCTTTTCGCGTATTCTCTTCAGCTGTTTATATACAATTAGTGGAACAGACGGGTTGGATTGCGAAGACAATCAGAGTGCGATGTTAATATTAGAACATGTCCCACGAAGCTTGATCGCTAATGGCCCGAAGCCGCAAAGTAGCTCGTCTGCCCACCACATACTTGACTGCCCTGAATGCCAAAACGCACGTGGCGATTTCACGGTGGTTAGCCAGCAAGCTACTCCTCTCTCACTTTCGTTTGGTGAGGCGTCGGCGATTCGGCGGTTGAAATCAAATTTTTTGCAAGCAAACGAATTTTATGACCACGTTCGCCTTCTCCTGGTGGGGCTAGTGATTGCGCTTTCCTCGGAACGGGTCACGTGAGCCTTCGACCATCTTGAATGTTTGCCATTAACATCGTACTCTGATTGTCTTTGCAATGTCAACTGTTTATTTCACTAATTGTATGTAAACAGCTGAAGATAATACGCTAAATCCCGGAATTTATTTAATCCTGTCAAAATGTTGGTTCTTCTTACTATATTGAAGTTCGCGAAGGGACATACCTGCATGCTATTCGAAATTTCGGTGCTTCCTCGTTTTTACAATATTGCGAATATTTCTCTGTCTCTTATACTCGTAATCATTAGAAGCACTGCAACGCAGGACTTTGTCATACCATATGCACCGCCGCCGAGCCACTTTATCACCATTTTCCTCGAACTTATGCGGCTTGATTGGTCTAACTTTTCAACACTTCAGTGGTACAAAGTGAGAACGCAGGAATGTCCCTGATAACAGTCCAGCAATCTTCCACAGCTGCAGATTGCGGCCGAGACCAATCTGCTTAGCTCGCGGTTTGAGTTAGACAGTATATTTGGTATGTACGCTGAATACGGGATGTTGTAGGTCCCACCAATTATCTTGTAGTTGGCCGGTTGTTCTGCTATATGACAGCACATACCTTGTGATGTGACACTAGAGCTTGGGTGCATGTATGTTCATATGAGGAGTAACATGTGTGTGGCTCGGCTAATTACTTCGGTCGTATGGGCGCTTTACTCCTTGTTCACTGTCGAATAACTTAGTGCATCTTTACGGTCTGTCTATGTTCATTGATCGGTACATTCTGCTCTACTCTGTCTGATTTAGTCGCCTCGAGTCATGCTTGGACGCTTCAACTTTCCTTTGTCTAACTTGCTAGCGCACACACTTCGTCTGCTCGCAGCCGTTCTAGGCATTTCGCTCCGTCGTTGTTCGTGATAAACCTCTGCTTACTCCTTCTGGTTAAGCCGATCCTCATTCCCCTATCTCGTCAACGCGTGATCAATTTGCGACGACAGTGATTGCTTGGCCTACTGCTTGCCTACAGCCCGTTGATCGGTTTCGCTCAAACGATTAGCTACCATCACGAACTTCAGCCGTTTAGGCAGTTATATATACATCTGTGGAATGGAGGATGGCATCACAAACCGTATGGCAAATGATCGAGGCGCTTTGGTAATCTTTACCACTTATGACGCCAACGCGGCACCACTCTCGCCCCGAAGTATAGGCTACAATGCTGCGTTTAACTTCAACGCTCCTGATGGGTGGCGAAGCCTATGCCATCAACTCGGCAGACATAAAGAGGCTAATTTCGTTACACAAGTAGTGCATTCGCAGTTTAGCTCATATCTGATAAGGACACAACTTGAGAGATGAGCGTGTACGGCGTCTTGTTTTTGGTTAACGAAAACTAAGTGAACCAGTGGTGCACCTTTACTTGGAAACTAACACCGACTTTATTCAAATTACTAGAAGGATCTAATTGTTTCAAACCTCTATTTTACCATAGCAGTTTATGCCACGTGCTACGCGTACCAGTGCGCCGGTTGTGAAATGCGTTGTTTGATTGACTAGTGCCCGGGTGGAAACAGTTTGATGTAAAAAAGCTTGGAGGATCTCACTTCAAACTTGGCGTCATGCAATGCCTCTGGATTCTTGGTTTAGACGGCCGTAAACTTTGAAAACTTTTGTTTGGAAACGTTTGTTGCAACGGCCAATAGCCGATCTCATTGATGCTTATGCTGCGAGTTTCTCTGTCCTTCCCCACCCCTTGGTTGTCCGTTCTATCTCGCACATATTTTTGTTTTATGCTTTCTTCTATTACCATTTAATTGAATCGTATTGAGACGCAATAGCCGATTGGTTTCTTACTTCTCACTTGCGTAGGGCAATGAAGGTTATGGCATGTAGTTGCTTGCGTAAAAGCTTTTACGGATGTAGCGTTCCGTTTTCCGGTTCTGCTTATCCTGTAACTTGATTGGATACATTTTTGCTAGTGTTTTCTACAACATTGGTATGTACTTCATTGTGTGACTAGTTTCATTGCCTTCCATCTGTTGCAGGATGCCTCTCATAAGTTGTCTGATTTACATACGAAATTATGGCGAATGGGTGTTCCAGTGCGTCGCGACGAATCTGCTACAACCCCCTCGGATACTGCTAACCACCCGGACCACACTCCGATCTTGGCTTGGTGGCGTAGGAGCTTACGTCCTGAGCACCTACGATTCCTCATCTCAAAGGTAACGCTAACGTGCCACGTTCCATTTCTATCGAAAATCTCAACTTGTGAATCTGAGCGCATCGTAAAGAACCAACCGATTTCGGGCCGCAATAGTACTCCGGCCACGAAATTCAAGGGGACCAAGACTAGCGTACAGGCTGAGGTGCAACTCACTCTTCGACTCCTATCAAGTGTGTTGTTCGGACTACTTTGTTATTCTGTCGCGTATTTTCATTTTTTGTTCTAGGTATTCTTAGCCCATGTCTCTCTTTCTTACGCGACTCTCCTTATTGCTGTTGGTCTCTTTATAGTTGCCATCATCATCTACTACTTGATGAATAACTTTCCATGTTTCCGCGTCGGCTATAAATCGCTTCTACTTTCTCAACTTTGTATTATCCTCAAAGTAATGGACGCACAATGTCAGGACCCTCTTTCGACTACCTTTTCTTTTCACCGTCGACCTTTAAGCTTTACTGAAATCTGCAACCTAGACAGCGTTTTCAGGATTTTTCTCCCACTTCAATTTTAGTACATCTGGTGAGCGCGCTTTCGACACTCCAAACAGCACCGTTCCTTCAGATTACTTCGAATCCTAACAGTGGCGATTTGATCAAGTGAGCATATTTTCCGTGGGCTGCTTCCTGTTCGTCCCACTGTAACTTTTGGTTCTATCAATCGTGTATACCTCCCTTTGTTAGCGAGCCCATATCACTATCATACGTCTTTCTCCCTCGCATTTTCCTTTCACTCCGAAAAACCCCACTTTGACTCATTTCACAGTTATTTTTGGAGCCTCGGTTGCTCCATTTCATCTCGCTCTCGTAGCCTCATTTTCGCCATCCGCTGTCTAACGGTTAACTGTTACATGCATGATTCACAGTGTAGGGCTGCGATAGATAACCCGTTAGCCATTGTATGCTTTCGTTGCAATATTTTATTTTCCTCCACTTTGTCTAACAATTTTACTAGGAATAAGCCTTTCCTCTTTTGGAAAATGCGACTACAGCAGAATGTGCACCCATTATTCACGCGACTCACCTAACACTTAACGTAACATTTTTAAATCCGTGCTTTTCTCTTTACCTTCGTTCCAACGACGGTTTTTCGGTTTTATTTGCATGTCACAATATAGGGGCACTTAGGGCTACTTCCAATGCGCCCTTTTTCCTAGTTGGCACTTCTCGTTTTTCAGCCGTGTTTTTACACAGCACTTTCATCCCGGTCTTCTTTTTACACTCGGACGGCCTATTGGCGTATAATAATCCGTTCAAAATATTAATCTTTATGCTTCATCTTCCCTGCAGAGTTACAATCCTGCTAGCACCTTTTGGTCGTCAAGCGCTTGTAGAAGATGGAGCTGCTGATTTTCGCTTTGACATGGAGGCGACTGAGCCCGTGCACACTTTCTCTCATCAACGCTTTGAAATGGGTGTTGATCTTGCAACTATGGCGTCTCCTTTATCCCTTTCTGGCCCTTCCTTCAGTGGCAAGTCAGAGTGGACTCCCAACCGACCAGTTGAATGGTCTCTATGGAGCCATACTGGACCCAAACAAAATCCGCGCACTCCGTTTGTAATCCGGCGCAATTTTTTGCAAGATGCTCCGAATACACATTCGAAGCAGGTATCACTGATCGATTTGGTCGACTAATTCTTTTTGTATACCTATTGGTAGAGGATTTTGATGTAGCCTAGAGATAGTTCATCACAGCTCACCGCCCGACAAAAACCGTTTCATCTAATCTCGTCAGCAGTGCAACACATCAGAATCTTCATGCCCACCTTTTTTATTTTTCTTTTTTCCATTGTTCATTATCATCATCAACACTTCTACCTTGCTCACCTATGCGCACCTAAATAAATAAATTTTTTAGTTTTGAAAGTTCGGGACTATTTATGCATAGTGAAAGTTCAACAGATACTCCGTTTTGTTCACAAATGATATCATCCGACATAGGACTGAAGAGAAGTCTCTTCATCATATGTGTGCTATCTGCATTACAGTATCGCATATTCATGGCGTTTGGGCTTAAAGACTATCGAATGTACTAGATGGAGGTTTCGTTCACAAGTTTTTCATATTTGTGCAAAGGTTTTGGTTACCATCCGAAATAAAGGAACGCCTTCCGATAAAAATCGAAATTAGACTTTCTTTGGTTAGAGTTGGTATTTCACTCTCCTACTGATGCTCAATCTGACTCCATCGGTCGATTTCAGAATGTTCCAAGTTTCATAGTGGCTCAGAAAAAAGAATAAGACGATAGCATTAAAGTAGACAGAAACACTTTTAAAATGTTTGTATGCAAATACTTGGATTGTAGGAATGTCTGGCGAAGAATACAATAGCATGGCAAGCATAATTGACAGTAAATCTGTATAATTTCGCAATTGACTCTTACGATTTTCACAAGCAGTTGGTTTTGAAGGCCTAAAATTACGGAATTATGCCGGGAAGCCTTTTCCTGAGTGACATATAATGCGTTTTCTAAACAAACAAACCATTAGCAACGACCTGTAGTGCTCGATACGATAGGAGCGGAATTGCTGCGAAATGTGCCATTTTTGGCGATTGTCAGGGTGTCAGTGAACGGTGCAGGTGTACAGAATGTTGATGATTGCAGAGAATAAATTTTAAATTATCACATGAAGTCCAGAAGTTGTAGTATAGCACAATATTCGTAATAACTACAATTTGCGCTATAGCGCCTCTGAAGCTCTTCTTCGGGCTTATGTGACCACAGTTCGTGAAGCTTTGAACGCGAATCATGTTCACCACTAAGCTACAACGTCTACGGCAATTGATCAGCACAGAACATGAAGAGGATGTAGCAAATGTTATCGAAAAGTCCATTTTGCTGACACCTAATTAGATTCTGAGGGAGTGCGGATCCGTAAGGTCAGGTCTCGTGAGTGTGATGGGATTACGCAAGCAGACGAACAGTACGCCTTTATATGACGAAGCAAGCGGCTAGCTTGCCGCAAGCGAACGAAGCGGAGGAATGACGCCTATGCATCTTCGCCTATAACCTGATCGGTTCGCATTTGGCAGCGCTAGAGTGAATTCGTCTGACTGTTCCAAAGGAAGAATCTGATGCATGCAGCAATATCGTTAGTTATGGAACTGACCTAGTTATTTGCATCGAGGCTTCTACAATCTAATCATGTTGTCATTTTCGCTATGCTGTCGAATAAACCGTTTGTCCTTTGAGGACCGTGTTCTGGGATAGTGCTATAGATGGATATTTAGCTCCGTATTTTTTCCAACTCGCAGTGTTCGACTGATCGCTCTTTTAGCCGTTCATCTTATTGATTCAAGGATGTGATGGAGATGCAGTTATGCGACGTAATGGAGACCGAGGTGGAGTATGCCGGTATTCGGCAAGGTTTGGGTGCCTCAGTTGCCATCATGTCCGTCACTTTTCTGAACAGTGCTATTTTCTTACGCCAGACAGAACGAACGAATAATAGTACATACCAGGGAGAACAGGTTTGGGAAATAGTAGGAGCTGCTTGTCCATCCGTCCCTATACCAGCGGTTCAACGAATCTCTGGTGAGCACTAGTCAGTCAAAAGAGAAATTTTATGGTGTTGGCCAAATTTAAGCAAAATGTTGGTCAACAAATCTTGGATGTTGTCTAGCTTGCCGAGGTGACAGGGGTTACTCTTGCCATTGTAATTGAATTTATAATAGTGATAATCAATATGGCAATAATGTCTGCAAAGAGGATCCGCTTTCTCATTCTACCCATCTGCTAGCGTTCTCAATAGCCCATGGTGGGCGTTCAGTTCTGATAAGTTCCTAGAGATGGTGAGGTTAAGTGACTTGAATATAAGCCTAAGTCACATCCGTGGCTCCATCAGAGGAACATTTTCTAACTAGTTGGAGTACTTATTGTGGCAAACAACGCCAAGTTTATGGAGGGTGAGTTAGAACTCATTGATAGAAGGTAAACGAGTAATAACTACCACTGGCATGTTAGGAATATCGGCGAAACTATGTGGGCTGCAACCCGTTAATGTTAGATGACCCGGTAGATCAGGTGGGACAAATAAAAAATTAAAAATAGAAACAAAGCTAATCGATATCAGTATGGTTAATCGGCGGAATGAGAACAAACCCGGGTCAGATTTATTAAGGATGTGATAGAAGTAAAGCTTGACGCTCAAAGTCCTCTTGTGCCTTTCACATATTTATCGTCTATTAATGTGCTTTCGCCAAGTATGCCTCATACCTCGTCTGCAATGAGGTGGTTGAAAACAGCACGATATACCTGCGTAATGTTTAGGCAACTTGTTTCAGAGCAACTTATATCTTATGAGGAAATATTTGGAACAAAGGTTTATACCTTTTCTAAGGACACGGAAGCTAGATAGTACTTTTTTAATTGATTATGTCTGAAATATTGTAAAATGTATGATGAAAAAATTTGCTGAGTCTGGTTGTCTAGGACTTTTAGTAACTTTATCAATCAGGAAGACTGTATTGATCTTCACTCTTCAGCTAGTCGTTTTACCTTCAACAACTTGCACTGCCTGTACTAAGTCAAGAAACTTGCTGCGATAACGTCACGTGATCCCGCATAGATACTCACCCGCGGCACCGACTCCAATACTCGCTTGTGAAAACAAAGCGCTATTCTGCTTATTACACCCCCGGTGTGATCAAGTAACTTCAAAACGACGACGTAACGAGGTTTTGTGAACAAGCTCGTCTCACTGAAGCTCATGCTCGATGTAGTGAGTAGTTTGTGTTATAACTCCGGGCGTGTCTTTAACTGTGTCATTTTCTGCGTAATCAGTAAAAACGCTCGCTGAAAGGCTATTCTTTCTTTCTCTCTTTCTCTGGTGGGGTTGCAATCTTTGGGATCGCGTTCGTCTCGTATTGCCTGTCTCGCTTAACTGGCAGAGTTCATCGTCTATATGGCGGCTAGTTTTCGCACAGGTGTTACCACCTCATGGGTCCAACAGATTTGGTGTGTGTGGATAAGAATGACGATAGTCATGCTAGTAGTGGGTTAGCAATCCCATAAGATGCCAATTTTATCAAAAGTTCGAAGTGTGCGATCGAATGTTTTTTCATGACTAGTAAAATTGTAACCATCGACATTCCTGAGTCAGTCGACTTGATTCTGTAATCCATAAATTCGAATTGGCTAGTTTGACACAATCGCGCACAGAGGAATCCGTGTTGCGGTTTGTCGATCAGATTGGGTGTATATAAAATTGCATAATTTTTTCATTATTATTTTCATACAAAGTCAGTGTGGGAATATGGCTAATGTGGCGTTAGTTTCTTAACGTTTGGGGTGATCCTACTTTGTGTCGGGTTGTGACGTGGCCTTCTTCCACCTAGTAGGATAGATTCCTGTCCTAAGTGACAAGGGGAATATGTTCAGCAATAGCATGGAGATATCTGGTGCGCCAAGTTTAATGCTGGCGGTATGTCATGGGACCCTGGATGAAATGGATGTTTTAAGGATGTTGTCTGCCTACTAATGTTATGCAGGTTGTACTCAACTGTGCCTGCCATTCCATTAGTGATGGTCACCCGTATTTCTTGTGCAACAGCGGTACTTGTATTAAATGATGAGGAGAGCTGCTTATTAAATAACTTACATAGCTATTCTGGATCGATAACGAGGCAATTTCGATTTGTTGTGACGTTTTGTTGGGTATATCATTATGCGACGCAACGTCTCTGCGTCTCTTGTAACCAACTTCCACATTAAACTTGCAAGTCATTGAGGATTTTATTACTTTGAATGATCACACTGAAATCATTCGTTTCCTTAAGTTCGGAGCGCAATCGTTCTAGATGCATCGCAATAGCTTTAACAATAGATTTTTGAGAGCGAGGCAATCGTTACTTTTGATATTGCATGGGAACAAGTAGGTCTGCATATATATATATATATATAATTCACAATCTGTGGTACAGATATTGTGCCATCGGAATCATGGCTGAATAGGAAGACAGTATGAATAATAAGAAAGAGCAACAACAACAAAAGCTTTTTTGTCTAGTTTACCACTTACCGTTTTTGAAATTTTTCAGTTTGTCCTTTTTTAGGGGGGAAGAAGGGACACCGCAACAAACCGATGCACACGTCCGCCATTGACATCGACCTTGAGCCATGGCTTCCAAGGTCTTCAGCCAGCAAGTATCCGCATCTCTCAGACCCCAACCAGGTAGTCGACAACAACCGGCCGACGCCAACTGTTTCGTCAGCTTTTTCATGCGGCTTCTCTATGTTGTAGTCTGTCCACCAGACCGTCTTCTCCAGCCCTGTTAAGCAACCGCAAACAACGCATGACGCGGGTAACGCTGGACAGGCATGCGCAATACGTGTCCCAACCACCGCAGTTGATGCAGTGAGACGAGCTCCTCGAGCGAGTGGCTTCCACATCCCAAGACGCGCTGTCTACTTTCTACATTGCTTACGTGGTGCTACCAACACACACGGGCAATGAACCGCAGGCAGCGGTGCTCGAAGACGGATAGCCTGCGCAAGTCATCTTTACGAATGGGCCAGGTCTCGCACCCTTACAACAGTGCAGCACGAACAGTTGCACAATAGACCCGCCCTTTGATGGAGAGACGAATTTCGTGGCGACGCCACAAGT